TTACATACAAATACACACACTCGCACGCAAACTTGTTCAACTCAAAAGTTGTGATTCTGGTATGCCACTTGAAGCGAAGAATTTGTTATAAACTAATTGACTCAATCGAAAGGGTCGTCTTTGTGTTTCGTCACCTTGTATATCAAAGAATATGCAATACTTTAGTCGTCATCGTTATCATGCAGCCCCACTCTTTTCTTGTGCAAAGCCCTGAAAAATCCTTCAAATCATTCATTTACATTTATCCACTCACAACTTTATAAGTACCTATTAAACTGTTTATTAACATTTTATTTTAAAAGGTTCAGTTATCATTTATTTTTCTCCTATTGCTTCGTTACTTTTTTTTCAAGGCTTAATGTAATAATTCTCGTACATGAAAATTATAATAATAATAGCCGTAGCACTCGGAGTTGTTAATGACTTGATTTTTTAATTTATTTATTTATTTATCTTTTTTTTTCTTTTACCGCATTGACCAGGGTTGGCAAGTTTCTATAATTCAAAAGTTCATAGGTATATATGTACATGAGAGCGCGCGGTGGCTCAGTCGGCTAGGTCGTGGATTGACACGCGGGAGACAGCGGTTCGATTCCCGGCCAGTGCGACTTTTCGGGCAAGTACCTCTGTGATTTTTCGCATGTGCTTTTTCACCACGCAATGCTCCTCGAGGAGGGTTTAGGCGACCTTCTCGCAGCAAAATTGCCTTATTTCCCCCTACCCCCCGCCCAGTAATGTGAGGCCTCCTATCCCTTTTCTTGTCCCTTTCCCCAAGTGCTAAGTGCCCTGTGTAGTGCCCTTTATAAGGAGCCGGACGTAAAGCACTATAATATAAAAAAAATATATATGTACATGAGTTTACAGTTTGCCAGATGTAAAACATGTGTATGCGACCATGTGATAACATTATACAGCCCAACGGTTGCACGCGCGTCAACGAGAAGGGGAGCAAAAGGTAGAGGAGACAGTCAATCGAGGAATAACAATGGCTACGTGCACTTGTTAGGCTCCAGAGACATTTGCATTTGGGCGATTGAACGTGATTCCTGTTGCACGGAGGGTTTTGAACAGAGCATGTGTTCGGCACCTCGGAGGTATACTTGTTTCCTGCTTCCTTGTTGCGATTTCATGATGTAAAGGACCTTGCCAAGTCCTACCCTCCAAGAATATCCAGTAATAATCATCGCCACTTGTAGATTTTATTATACGAATACTTTGAGCAAGCAAGCAGTACAAATTCAGCTAAAATAGTCGTTCACCCCGAGTACCATGTCCATTAAAACGTGTGTCTATAACGCGTAAAGAATTCAAATGTTACGATTAACATCGCATTTCTAGTTTGACACTTGAAATCACAAGTTTTACCATTTTCCAAAAACAAATCCTTTTTTCAAGTAACAAAGATGTAGTTTGCATTTATTTTGGCGAGACAAAAAATTAAATGGGATAAATCATCACGAATTATAATTAGGATGGAAAAGGATAAGCAGGATCAGACCACGCGTATACGTGCGTAAGATGTAAGAAGAAAGAGAAATGGAGGAAGAAGAACGTATTGGGGTTAGAGAGAGAGAGAGAGAGCTCTGCAGTGTACATGGTAAATAAGCTGGAATGATATATAGACTCTTGCCAACGTCGACGACTCTTTGGCAGTCGGCCAAATATTTGTACGCGCGTGGGCGTATCCACAATTATAATAGATAAAGCGTAGCAAGGCTCGACTTCCCTTTCTGACGCATCATCGTCCTCGTCTGTGTCGTTGTTGTTGTTGTACCACCATCTCGTATTACTTATACGGGCACGCTTCAATCCAATAAAATGAAAAGTAGACACAGGAAGAGGTGTATTGGCATCCTCACGCACAATAAATTTTTATTCCCTCGGGGAGCCATAGTTACATTGTTGGGTTTTGCTAAGCTTCTTACCGGAATGACGAATACATACGTCTGCAGATAGAAATTAGTCCTTGCTGGGGGAAAATTTTTATTTTTATGGCTGCACCATCACTTGATGATGATGATGATGATGATAAGTCACTTGAACGGCCAGCCCAGACTGAGAATAGATTCTTACTCGCTTTTCACTAGAGCGAGAACAAGACGTCCAATACGCCACGAGAAAAAGCAGCCAAAGATTACGCATAATACGCATTATGAGCGTGTAGCATGTAGAGCTTGACAGACCACAAAAAGTACGTGAAACAGAGACGGAAGCAAAAGAAGAGGTACGTGATGGAAAACCCGAGCAGTCAAGTGGTATATAAATAACGCATGGGCAGCGGCAGCGTATAAATAATGCAGGTCGCAAATATCAGCGAAACGCCGATGTCCCTGCGTCCCCCTACCTCTCGTAGCATTCTCAGTCCCGGTGCTGTACATGTGCATAGGTATAGTCGACCATCGACACAGTTGCTCATCGTCCCCATTACGTAAAACCTCTCGTTTAGGTTTTCTCTTTTGACACTCGCTCCTTAATTCTTTTCTCTTGCTCTCTCCGTTTAACTTTTTTAAAGCTTCATCATCCTCCGCATGTATATATATATATATATATATATATATATATATATATATATATATATATATATAGGTACACAAGGGTCATTGGGTTACAGTGGTACATCTCACATCAATAAAAATTACAGTTTTCAATCGGTGTAATATTCTTGATCCGCGTGTATACCAATATGCATATGTGTGTGTGAGTGTGTATATACATATATAGAAAACCAGGCTTATGCAAATTCATTCGTTTGTTTTGCAAATGTACATTATTTTCACATGCGATTAGTACTTTTGCATTAATCGTTGAGATCTGCTCTGAAAGCTAACGAAAGAATGAGTCACTGGGCGACGAAATTTCAGACTCACAAAAAGATCCGTTGTTGTTCGGGCAAAAGGGCACGGGCACGGGCGCATACACAAATAAAGCCTTATTTAAGTATTCAAGTATGCGTGAAAGCTGATTAAATATGATGCCATCAGGCTTCCTAGGGATAAGTGGAGAGATCCGAGAGATCGTTGGTGTATAAATAAATATGATATGCAGACGAAAAGGCGCATACAGCCGTAAAGAAAGGCCGGCTATATATATGTATAAGTACTGCAGAACAGAACAAAGAACACCTACTCTAATGGCGCGTGCGTGCTAGAGTCGCGCCTGATTGCTCTCTACGCGCGTCGCGCCGCTCCCATCTGTTGCTCACCGACGCGTCGTCGGCCGGATTTATATAAATATTTACCATAGAGAAACGGGCTTGATGATCTTATATATTATATACCATTAGTAGTGACAAAATAGAAATTATACAATATACACGACTCGTCGGCTGCACTCCAGCGCTTGATCGATCGATGATATCGATGATCGAGACGTCTTTCCTCACATCTTCTTACATTACTATTTCGAGTAGGTAATGTACCTATGTACATACGTAGACGCACAAGCAGGTATATATCGATCGAGTTTGATTAATCAATAATCATTGAGATCGAGATCGAGAATATTGGTAACTTTTTACAAGTTTAATTACAAATTACGGTTTGATTTTTCAGATTTATATTAATTTGGCTCATTAGACAAGTAACCATCCAACCAGGTATGTGTCTTGAATGATTAATTTAATATTAAGAATATTCATGTATAACCGGTTATATTTGCGATGCGGTGTCTCGTAAATTATTTATCAAGGTTTAAGCTTTATTGAACGAGGATTTTTTTTCTAAGAAAAATTTCTACAAGACAATGCTTATCCCTAACAATTGATAAACCGACCTGAACAGGAGTAATCATTACCGTTGGTGTACCCAATAACCCCAGCGAAAAATATTTGCAGTCTCACAATCACAATAATTTAATAGCAACATGTATGCGTAAAAATAATGTTTAATCATTGTTTCACAACAGTTATTTCAGTGCCAGATTTTATACATAAAAAATACAAGTTTTACACAAAAATTTTACAAAGTTTGAGAGAGCGTTCTGTTGTAAGTAGTGTATTGTCGGTGAAACGTTTTCGAGAGACAACTTTTACTTGATCCAGTTTTGGTCTAAACACATGCACAATTCCTTACACCTCTTTTCAATAACAAAGCCGCCAAGTACCTACTAATTTCAGACTTGATATTTATTGATCTCATCTGTTGTCATACGCATTATTTCGCATGCGTATACGTTGACATACAGTGTATATTCATCGATTGGTACTGAATTGGCACCAATTGATTACTGATTCTGTACTTACAAAAATATGGTTTAGGTATGGAATCAGCGGGTTATTTCGCTGCTTTTGCCGAAAAGCGGAGATAATTATATGTCTTCAATACATATATAAGTAATATCGTTTGTTCATATGAATAAATAGCAAACAAGAAGCGACGAGACGGAATATATTATCATCAGTGTCAATAGAATTGTTTGTGGGTATCCGATGGGAGAGGAATGATTGCAATTCGCAAGAAAGGGGAAATTATTGAGAAATACCCCCAAAAATAATAGTATTCCTCTTTTTCAACAACTTTGCCGGATATTTACTGAAAAGAATGTCGATTAAAGCTACCAATCATTTGCTTCGAGTTTGAATGACGTGCGTGCGTGCGTGTATTTGCAAATCAACGAAAATCGAAAATATTTTAATCGTATATTATAAGTAACTCGCATACGCGTATCCTTGCAAAAGACATGGATCCTCTCTCCTGTTGTTGGCGCGTTATTTCAAAGATTATCAGACTGGTAAAATGTAAGCACTACCCTCCTAGATGTAAATAGGTACGACTCGTAAGCAACTGCATGCACACGCAGAAAATGAGACGGCGGCATGTTATGTACATTTTGTATATACCTATACATATATTAGATATATCGTTGCATGCATGCGAGAGCCAAAGAGACAGAGCGAGGGGAGTGAAAAGGTGGTGCGGAGGAGGAGGAAAATTGGGCATTGAGCGTCTCGCCTCCTCTCCGCTCCGGCCGGTGCGCTCACTTGTTGAGTGTCGAGCGACAGACGCGTCCAGCTCTCTCTCTCTCTCTCTCTCTCTCTCTATATAGGTACCTTGGTGCTCTCATGCACATACGTACTAGCGTTCTCTTCTCCTCCTGAACAGTCACTAGCCGGCGCGCGGCTTATTCATTTATACTTTTGAGCGCTCGCGCGTTCTCGTGCCCCTCTAATGGGTTGTGGGTGCTTACCGTAGTTATTTGTTGTATCACCCAAGAGTCCCATTGTCGTATCTGTTGCCTCTTTTTTTTTTTTTTTTTTTTCCATTGCACCCATAGTTGCCCTCCTACAAGTATTACGTACCCATGTGTAAAAAGTTAAACGCTGACGCGAAAAGTGAAAGTGTGTATACCCGTGATTTAGATTAACTAGCGACAACTACCTATTATTGTACTTGGAGGACACAAAGATGACGAGGTGGTTGTTGGTTGAGTACCGTCGTAACTGCTGCTGCTGCTGTCTCATCAATACGATGCCAACCGCCGACAACAATGTGAGCTTGCACGAGCAAAGGCATCACTCGCTTACGTAAGCCCGCTGCAGCTCTGCCTCCTCCTCCTGCGGCTGCTGCTGATGTACATACGTCCGCGTACGCGTTCTTTGCACATATATGCATATATATGTATTTATATTACGCTGCGAGAACTCAGTCGTGTATGCGCGTGACCATTCCTCTTTTTCAACAATACACGACGTTACCGTATAGATACATATGCATTATATTTAATGTTTTCCCAAACTCGGCAATAAAACGAAAAACAATGTATGATTAAACAGCAACAACAAAATAATAATAATAATAATAATAATAATAATAACGCTGAGGAATTAAGTGTGCGCGAGGTCTCGTCGGGGTTAATGTAGCCGCATGCAGTAGCAACAGCAGCGCATTGTTAATCGATCACAATAAGCTCGCACGACTCGCCAGTGCCAAGTACTTTTTTTAATACTTACAGTTTATCGGTGGCTATCGTTGGAGGTGGGCAGTAACAGTAATCAGGACTGAGGGTATATCCATGCAGTTTGCACAAACACACGCACACACGTACGCTTGGAGAATAAATTGATTGTGAACCTATTATTATTGACATACACGCGCACACGTAACACACACACACACACACACACACAGAGAGAGAGAGGTATTAGATAGATAATGGCGATGAAGAGCCGGAAGTACGTGGGCTCGTCTTACCACTTCAGCTCGCCAAGGTATTACCCAGCCATAAGTCCGGCGTATTGGGCACCGCAAGCACAAACTGCGCCCTACTCCGTTCCAGGTAAATTGTCTATTGTCTATATGTATAAGTATATTATTTTTTAATTTGCTTCTATTGCATCTGACGTTTTTTTGCCAGTACGTTTGATGGGTCAAAGGATAGTAGTTGAATATGTAATGATATTATATACGTGTAGGTACATATTACGCTGCGCGCATTTCTTACTATTTTTGGGGTCCTCCTCGAACGCCGGAGTGTGTTTGTAGGTGCCTGTACTTATAGCGCTGTTTCTAGCCTCAACTAGTTGCATGTCCAAGCTCGAGTGATGCTCTCACTCGTCGCCGCAGTCCCGCGTGTGCAGTGTGGCACAGCACAGATACCTACTTGAGTATTAGCCGTGAGAAGAAGAGAGAAAGAGACGATTTGCGTATTATTTTTGTTCTCCACTCGCCACGCTGCTTACAAGACTTGATCAACTGTCCATCCGATACGTACTTACAACATCGGTTCCTCGTACGTCCTAGCTGCGTACACGCAATACTTGTACTGTACCTTGGACGTTTCTTCGTTAAAGCATCCCCAAGAGCATTGGCATATTATAATATATAGGTACTTTCGAGATTGGCATGACTCAAATTGGGAGCGTCTTATGCTCGGCTTGGGTAGTTTCCGTTTTCTTTGTCTCTGGCTGCTAGTCATTTCACCGGTCAATGATTCGTTCACGCGTCATTCGCATACCTCAAAGATAATTTACACCTTGATGATTTAAAATTATCTATTTGAATAAACTCATTTTTCACATTTAAATAAAAGTCGTATTTTTATCGATTAAATTTACCGACTTGGGAACATTTTAATTGTCGTTGAAAATAAAATACGTTGCGATACAAGCCAATTTTTAATTAACTTAATGAGCCTTCAATTAAGATGATAAAATTATTTATAAGGATCGCCGGAGTATGACGCCAATTTTCGTAACAAGTATATATTTTTACGCACCTAAATGTCGCGGTTCCTCTGTTATGTTTTAAATAGTAATCAAGTGTGCATCTCAAAAGTTATTTTCAATTCACAGAGATTTGCTGCACTTGGTGTACAGCAAAAAATATCCTTTCCAAATACACTGCCGTAATGGTGCCTGTGCATTACATAATATTATTTCAATATATATATATCTTCTCTCTCTCTCTCTCTCGGATCCAAATTTACAAAACAATTCAATGGAATATTTTTCCATTTCTTACATTTATTTAAGCATATAGTTACTACATAACGCAACAGCTCGCGCGCATTTATAAATTTCGAGTGTGTGTGTGTGTGTGTGTGTGTGCGCGCGCGCGTATGTGGTTGCGTAACCTTCATAGACTAAATTGAAAGCTTCACTTAGAAACGTGGATAAAAAAAACGTTATAAAGAGTTGGCTAGTTGAAAAAAGTAACTTGTCTGCACTTCTCAGTCTCTCTTGCGTTGTCCATTTAAACATTGACCTTGACTTTCGTTACTCGTCATGTGTTTTTTTTTGTTTTTTTTTTGTTTTTTTTTTTCTCCGTAAACTCCAGCAAATGTTTAAAAAAAAAAAAAATTACGTTTTACAATTTGCGTTGTTAGCTATTTTTATTTGCATAAATCTTTTCAACGCTGTACTGTAACACATAAAAAATATTCTTAGAAAGATTTGAGTATTCATTGCAAAATGTGCGAATGCATAAAAATTTTATTTGTAAGTCACAACTTATTAAATATTACATCTCGTGTATATCATGCGCAATAAAATACGTGGACACGCGTTGACGCATTCGGATTCAGGTGAGAGAGAGAAGAAAAAGAAAATATTTACATTCGAACAATCGATCAGGTAAGGCAAAGGGAAAAAAAAAAAAAAAAAAAAAAAAAAATGTATTTACTCATAATCGAGCGAGGAAAAACGTACCAATGATAATTTCCAAGGTGACATTAACTGGCGAACGGTGCGCATTTCAAGTATCTTTGCCTACATAGGCATTGAAAGTCGTCGATGATAGGGCTGAGGAATCGCCACTGAGGTATATAATATGACACAAGTAAGTATATCAGGCAAACGAGCGAGCGCGTGGGACGGGTTTGTAAAAGTATCAGCATACAGGTACGACAGGTACAATGCTTATAGACAAGTCAGTGTTTGTATTTTATCAAATGTGTCTGTATTATATAGGGTATATATTTACGTGTAGTCGTGCATGTAAGCGCTAACATTTAAAAACATGAGGGTTATGCAGGCGACTTGCCTCAGCCATTTCTATTAATCAATCAATAAATTAATAAATAAAAACACTCAAGTGTTGCAGTAAATATTTTAATTAAAATTTATTCCAGGATAATTTTCTATTGGGGATTTTTGGTTCACCCAAATAAAGCTGTAACGAGCAATCAAGTCTCATCTTAATAATCCCTAGCCCATATCGGACGTAACTTTGTATTTATTTATTTAAAGTCATATTATTTACTAGAATTTAGTGAACTCGTTTATTTATTTTATTTTGTTTTATTAAGAGAATCAAAATTTTTCATCGATACTTTTTTTTTTAGTCCAACAAGTTTTTAGTAAAAAGATTTATACAGTTTCAAATTATGCCGTTTTTTGCAACTTTGACA